GGTGTCTCCGACAGTTTCTGGATTTGAGTAAACTGCAAGATAGATAGACGGTGTGTCAAACGAGAAACTAACGTTTCGTAACGTCAGTATGGATTAAACGTCGCGAGCTTCTTTATTATTGCCTATTTCTCGTTTCAATTATCCAGACGATAACGTTCGAGATCACACGCACAGGGGTGAAAGTAATTCTTATTTAACGCACGTTGTTGTTCCTAAAGATTTCTCCTTCGTCGGGTTATATAATTTTTGCGTCCGATCGTTCTGCTTCGTCTACGATTCAGTGAAAATAGCCATCGTTCGCGGACGCGAGCTATAACATCATTACGATGACGTTTCAATCCCGGTTTAACTGAGAATCAAACTCAAGCACTTAGCTCGTAATTATTAATCGGATTGCTAAACTAGCTTGCTAATCAGAGCAATAACCATTACACGAGAGATACATCTCTGAGTCTGGTGAAGTTAGCTATTCCAAAGTAAATTAGTAGAGGCAGAGTGTTTAAATAACTATCGATGTAAGATATAGCTCGCTCGTTAACCAAGATTTTTATCTTCTTTCCAGTCAGATCCGTGTTCTAACTAATTGTAAATTCCAGGGATCGAGATTCATCGATCCGAGAAGGGAAAAAGGAAGAGACGATTTAATATCTCGCATCGACGAGACTTGAAAACTTTATTATAACTTGCCGTTTCAAGCATTTTAACTTCTCTCTCAGAGATTCGAGTCTTAGAGACCAGCGAAATAGCAAGCTCTAAATATGATTGCACAGTGAATTTGAAATGCAATTCTCTTGTACTTCGGAGTTTTACGGAGTTGATCACAGCGGCTGACTGATTCGCATGGTGGAAATGTCGTGCATCGATGGTTTCACAGGCAATAAAGTGCAAGTAGACTCTCGTCTAGCGATCAGCTGTGAATCGGCCCGTTTCTAAACTTCTCGGACTGATATGCACGCCCATCACGGTGAACGGTGATGCATGAAAATACGAGTCCCGCGCGAAAGTAATGCGTAAAACGTAAATACGTAAATCACGGGTGAAAGCGATGCGCGTTTCTTTCTTCTCCGCCAGCAGATCTGACGTCTGTTTTACTTCTGTTTTTTTTTTTTT